AGGATAGATATGGTTAGCACAGCGAAGGCAGCAAATATAACCACCATGATGACAGAGCCCACATAACTGAGCTGCTGGAAGGAGATCCGCATCACCATTAACCACAGCACCTCAGACAACTCTGAAAAACACACACACACACACACACACACACACATACAGCATGACTAGATGCTCCTCCTCAGTGACGACGGCAGCAGTGAAACACACGAGAGCACTTACGGGCGTGAGCCAGGCTGAGGGCCCAGAGCCGCAGGTACGAGGCCGTGTTGGAGATGCAGCCCAGACAATACTCGATGGTGTGAATGGCCTGGTGCATGAACACGTTCGCTGCATCAAACTCCTTACAGACAATGGCAGATGGAAAGAAGAAGAAGATATCATAAAAATGGCAAATTCAAGAAACTGTTCACCTAATTTCTGTCATCATGTAATGTTTGTGACACAGAGCTACCGTACGACTTCAGAAGATCTGGAATAGTACAGCATGCTAGCAATGGCAAGGTCATGGGTTTGATTCCCAAGGAAATAATTGATCAAATATGTACCTTGATTGAATGCCATGCAAGCTGCTTTTATATATACACACATGCTTTGTGCACTTTTTAAATTTGAAGCTTCAAAACATCAAGTTCACATTCATTGTAACTTCTGGAAAATACAATAAGTTGCACCAGGTCAAAACTGCATTGTTGAGAAGAAGAAAAAAAACACAAGTTGGCTCAGTAAGTCAATTAATTGTTACATGCAAAAATAATGTAAGAAAACAGTATATACAATGAATGGCAACACTTTAGTTTAGGGACCAATTCTCACTATTATTAACTAGTTGCTTAGCATCCATATTACATGCATATTGTCTGTTTATTAGTACTTATGAAGCACATATTAATACTTTATTTTGCATGACCATTTTTTAGATCACTTAATCCGACCCCATACCTAAACTATTAATAAGCAGCAAATTAGGAGTTTGAGGCAAAAGCTAATAGTTAGATAATAGCGAGAATTGGTCCCTAAACTAAAGTGTGACCAAATGAACATTTATAAACACTATAAAGATGTATTTTAGTTTCCCCTCACTCCACAACAAATCCTTTAAATGTAATGTTATTCAGAACAGAACAGGAATGAAAAATGCAAGTATAAAAAACGAATAGAATCACTGAGAATTCGAGAAGTCAGATTTATTTTAGTTAATCCATTTGTTCAGATGGTTCATTTGAATAAATTCTTACAAAAAAAAATCATCTCATCACTTAACAGGGTCCACACAGAGTTTTTTTTACTGAAACAAACGTTTTCTGAGCTGCCTTCACACTTGTTAAGTATGTCAAAAACCCTGCAAATAATGAGGAATGATGTGACGATCTGCCATGTGACCAAAAGCTGAGTGCATCTACTGAGAAATTCAGATAGTAGTGCTTCTGACAACCCAAACCCAACTCTCACCACACCCTCAAAGATAAAATCAATGCACATTCATAACCGTCAAGCGCTCTGGCAGACATTTCTCAAGCGTTTAAGCGTCAAATCACTTTGAATGAATCAGTAAAAAAAACCCAGTTCATTACACCCGTCTACTTTTCCCTATTTCCCTCTTACCTCCTCTTCTCCTCCTCCTCCTCCTCCTCCTCCTCCT